ACACCCTATCAGTAACAGTACTGTAAACTCCAGTGCCTAAAAGAAAAAAAAAGGAAGAAAAGAGCTTGTTAGAGAGGCTGACTTGGAGGCAGGAGAGAAACTGGAGGCATTGGTGGAGGGAAGTGGCCAATAGTAAAGTCCTGGTGCTCAAACATCCTACCTTTGAAACTCAATCATGAACAACTTTGTCACTTTGTAATTCACAGTGGCTCAACAAATTAATCCAAAAAAAAGTCATTTCCTATTTGACTTTCTCCTTTAATGAAGTTATCCCTAACTTTCAATAGGAACACATAAAGGCATATTTTTAAGCATCATGGTTATCCCACTAGCTTTTAGTTCTCATTAAAATGATTGAAATCATCAAAATTTCATCTTGTTTGGGGTTACAGTTTACATTTTTCAAAGAATATTCACATCAATTTCTGAGACGTAGCACTAGCAGAAGGAGGGAGTATCCATAGAGGTCTACCAAACAGGTTAATAGCAGCAAACAAAAGGATTCTAGTGCTTCCCGGAAGTTATGCTTATTCAGAGAATGATCAGCAATAGACCTTCTAAAAAACCCACCGATATACCTTTGGTGTAAGGATATCTTTTGGAAAGTTCACATTCTTCTTCTAGTAAGGTTAGTCTTTCTTGTGTTTTGTTCTGTGGGGGACACAACCAGAGGTTCTGGGGCTATTCTCGTCTCCGTACTTAGGGGTGGCTCACTGAGAAGCTCAGAGGAGCATGGAGTGCTGAAGATCTAACACGGGCCTTCAGCACGCTTTGCTTGAGATTAGTCAACTGAGCTAAGTCTCTGGCCCCAGGAAAGTTGGTCTTTATCCAACAGGTTTTAATCTTTATGTATTTCATTAAAAGAAATGGAAACCTGATTTTTTTTAAAATGGAGAGTGAGCTTCCATCACTGTCTCTTGTATTATTTTTTTCTTTATAAAAACTAATGTCACTAAATGTGGATAATTTACTCTGATACAGGAAATTTGTTTTGTTCATTTGGGGCCACATCCAGCTTTGCTCAGGGCTTACTCCTGGCTCTGTGCTCAGGGATCTTTCCTGGCAGTGCTAGGATAGAACACCTTACCCACTATACTATCTCTCTGGCCTAGGTAACTGGGCAATGATTTTTTTTTGTCTATCAAATATGCAACATTTTGCATATAAAGTATGTATGTAATATTTTATATATAAGCAAGTATGTATGCAACATGTTATATATAAACACATGTTATATATCTAACATATAAACATGTAAGCATAAAGGTTTATACATAAAATATTGAATATTTCATATATATAGCATTACATATGCTATATATATGTAACATTGCATATACATGTTTTGAGGTATACCCAGCTGTGCTCGGGACTTACTCCTGGCTCTGTGCTAAGGGATCACTCCTGATGGTGCTTGGGGGACCAAGTGGGGTTTTGGGGGATAGAATCAAGGTCTGCTGTTTGCAAGGCCTTTCTGCCTATACTATTTTTCTGGCCCCTAAAACAGATTTTTAAAAATTATTTAGAGGATCTGAAGGAGGGGATCTTGGGTTGGATTTACCAGTGACTTGTCTGTTTTATTGGTTTCATCAAAGAAACAGCTCAGAACAATGAATCAGTTCGATTACTTTATTTAGATTTGTCAGTACATTTTATCTTTTTCTTCTTTAGTTTCCCTAGCATATGTTTTCCTTAATTATTTATTTTTCCCTTTCATTGCGTGAGAAATATTAATATCCATCAATTTTCTGGGATCAGATCTTGTGGGCCCTGATATTTCTGTGCCACATTCATTGTGTAGATATGAAAATTTTTCTTGAATACCTCAAGATTAACCCATGGAAATTTTGGCTTATGAATCTTTAATTCAATAATTAGTTAGGAATATAGTTTTCTACTGCTCATTTTATTTTGGCCTTGTTCTTGTCTTTGGCTATTTCTAATTTTGCCTTATTTTAACCATAAAATTGAAGGGCATTAAGTTAAAATCTTAAGTTATTATTATTATTATTATTTTGGATTTTGGACCACACCCAGTGATGCTTAGGGTTTACTCCTGGTTATGCACTCAGGAACCACTTCTGACAGTCTCAGAGGTTGGGGTGCCAACGATCAAATGTGGGTCAGCTACATGCAAAACATGCGCCCTACCTACTGTCCTATGGATCTGACCTCTATAAATTACTTTTAATTGAAATGACATTGCATTAGAAAATAAATTTCAGGTGTGCGTAGTTATAAATATTTGTAATACTACTTTACGTTTACTACTAAACATCCAATTCTCTCTTTCACCACATTTCTTATGGTTAGCTTCACGGTCACGCCGGTCACGGTCGTCCCGTTGTTCATCGATTTGCTTGAGCGGGCCCAGTAACGTCTCCATCATGAGACTTGTTGTTACTGTGTTTGGCATATCGAATACATCATGGGTAGCTTGCCAGGCTTTGCCTGCGGGCAAGATACTCTCAGTAGCTAGCTGGGCTCTCCGAGAGGGGCAGAGGAATCGAACTCGGGTCGGACATGTTGGCCGCTTGTAAGGCAAATGCCCTACCGCTGTGCTATCGCTCCCGTGATATGGGGCTGGAGAGATGGTTAGCTTAAAGGCTTTTAAAAGAGATAGCACTGGGGCTGGAGTGATAGCACAGCAGGTAGGGTGTTTACACGCGGCCGACCCGGGTTTGATTCCCAGCATCCCATATGGTTCCCTGAGCAACGCCAGGAGTAATTCCTGGGTGCATGAGCCAGGAGTAACCCCTGTGCATCGCCAGGTGTGACCCAAAAAAGCAAAAAAAAAAAGAGATAGCACTGTTGCACTGTCCACCCATTCATCAATTTGCTCGAGGGGGCACCAGTAACTTCTCCATTGTGAGACTTGTTACTGTTTTTATCATATTGAATATACCTCTGTAGCACTGTCCTCCCATTGTTCATCGATTTGCTTGAGCGGGCCCAGTAACGTCTTCATCATGAGACTTGTTGTTACTGTGTTTGGGATACCAAATATGCCATGGGTAGCTTGCCAGGCTTTGCCGTGCGGGCGAGATACTCTCAGTAGCTTGCCGGGCTCACCGGGAGGGGTGCAAGAATCGAACTCAGGTCGGCCATGTTGGCTGCATGCAAGGCAACCGCCCTACCCACTGTGCTATGGCTCTTCTGATCGAATATACCACGGGGAGATAAAAATCAGTGCATTTTTCATTTAAGGATGATAGATTTCAAGACATTTAGCCAACCTTTATTGATCAGTTATTAAATGGGGATACTCTGCTGGTCAGTTGGAAGCAAAGAGAAAAAAGATTCCTCCTCTGTACTCAAAATTCCCTAAGGGAGTAGAATTACTTGTACTAGAGAATTAACAGAAATGGTAATATCCTAGACTTTCTGGTTCACTACAAGGTTGCAATATATCTAATGGGATTATTAAGCTCCAAGTCTAGGTTTTCTTTATGACATAATAATTGCACAATTAAGGAATTTCCCTGTTTGGTAATTGTTTTAAAATGTTGGTCAATTTATTTTAAGCCCAATGAAATCAAATGGAGGTTCCTCTGGCTGAAGCAATAGTACAGTGGTTAGGGTACTTGCCTTACACATGGTTGCCCAGGGTTCGATCCCCAGCACCTCATATGGTTCCCTAAGCCCACTCTGTGATCTGTGAGCACAGAGCCAGGAATAAGCCTTGAGCACTGCTAGGTATGGCCCAAAAACAAAAACAAAAACAATTTATAACAAAATGGAGATTCCTAATAGCACAGACCCTGAAAATGGGTTTATGTAGTCACATACATTTTTCAAATTTGCATAGATCAGAGTTTTCAATTCTTTTTCATAAAGATGTTCTCTTGGGTCTATCCATGTGGCAACCACATTTGTCCTTGGCATGAGTTATTAGATAGCAATTATTTGTGTATATGATTCAGTGTATATAACTCCTTAAAATGTTTTTACTATTTTAAACTATAGCCAGGAAGTTGGGATAAAATTATCAAAGAATGATTTCATTTATGGCAATAAGATATGCCACAGAGAAACATACAATGTTGGAAAAAATCTGAAAGCTCTTCAATGCTTGCTATCTAGCAGGGTTGCATAGTATATATTTTTTCCTATAAAATAATAATTGGCATTTTCTATTTTAGGAGACTGGAAAGTTGACATTAACATGCCCAATCAACAGTGAAAGACTGAAGTTTTGGGAGCACACTAACTCATGAAGAGAGACTATTTTTCTTGTCTCTCTTGCACTTAGTACAGGACTTGACATTCACCAGGTTTAACATTTTTTAAATAAATGAATGAAGTTATGGGAAGCTAACCAGGAATTATATGAAGAGTCAGCAAGTTTATATAAAGGGTTGCTCACTACAATATAAAGCCATATCAAGATTTCAATTTTTATCAGTTAGAGAAAATCTTGTAACTAATAGACGGCTGATTTCTTGCTTATGTAGAAAATTTTATATTAATGGTAAAATTATCATGGCCCTTTTATTCACTTTAAAAGTCTCTATAAAGTTGTCCATAAGTATTTTGGAAAAACTGGTAGATTGAACGATTAATAAATATCTTTGTATAACTTCTGGACAAAGGCCAGCAACAGTTAAATAACTGAACAGAACACTTCAGGGTGGTCTATGATCATTGTTTCCATCCAGTGTTTCTAGGGCTGTCATGAGGATGAAGGGTTAGACTCACTTCCGTTCAGAGCAGGGTGTTGGTTATGATGTGTGGGAATCTAGAGTTTCTACAATTCCCTTGGAATTCGTTTCCGAGGTAGGAGTGAATTTGGACAGACTTTTTTAGACTTTCAAACAACTGACATTTTCTTCTTTTTCCCCCTTTAAGCAAATTATTTAGCAATCTCCTTCTCCTTCAACCATTTCTCTTCTTGTGTTGCCTCTCCTTCTCCCTGCTCTACCCCTGCCATGATGTAAAAATATGATTTGAACTCATATCATCCATCGTAAGAGAGCAATTAGCAGTACAGTTCAATTTACCTCCAGCACATATGGTGGATGGCTCTGCTGCTAGAATTTCAATGCATGACTTCTTCAAAATCTAGGGGGAGAGAAAAGGAAAAAAAAATTTAAACTCAGCTTGTTTTGTTAAAACAGAGGAGCATTTTTCTTTTAGCATCCAAAATAGGAAGATTCACAGATACAATGTTGCACTGGGCAAGTGGGCAGGTGCGATAACAACCTCACTGCTTTCAATTGATAGCAAGCATATTGTGCTCCATGGGTCTAGGTGTCCCCAAAGTCTTAAGAATTATTCATTCTTTATTTCCTTTTTGGCAGATATTCCTGATACTCTGATATGTCAGTCTGAGAGATAATAGTTGGGGAAATGGAGCTTGCACTTGAAATGGTAATGACCAGTCTTAGGTGGTTGGTACCAGGGGTAAGGGGCAGAGAGTAGATGCTATGGAGTTTATGGGGGTGACTGCAGAGGGCTGAGACACTGGAAAGGATTTGGTAAAAAAGGAGGTACGTGCTAAGGTTAGAACTCAGTCAAGTAGAGGAAAGGGAGAAGTTAGAAGGTTTGGGTCGAGGCATAGAAGGGCATGAACTCAGGTGAGAAAGTTAAAGGGAAACTTTAGCTGGAACAAAAGGAGTTTGAAAATAGAAATAAAAGAATTAAGAAGTAGATGGAGAATTAGGATGGAGAGGCTCAATTCTCTAGAAAATAATTTTCAAAATTATTAAGATTCTCTTTTTGTTGGAAGTCTGAAAAGACATTGAGGGAAAGGAATTTGAGGGCTATTCATTTTCCAGGAGAATCCCCCTAAACCATATTTAAATGAAAATGCACTCTTCTCTCTAAACAGAAGTCTGGTAGCGTTGAATACAGAGTCTTGCAGAATCCCATGACCTCACATCAGTTAATAATGAAAGTTTCTTCTGGCCAAAACAGGGTTTAAGTTTCTCACTGCTGGTTATGAATTTCGTCTCTTGTTGAGTTATCAATTCTAAAGTTTCAACCAAACATTTTCAGTATAGAACACTGTGTTAAGTTACCAAGAAAAAAAAAGTAGCTTTATTTAGAGTCTTATTTAATTTGGAAATTAAAATAGTTAAGAGGAATGAAGGAAACCCTTTCTCCGCTTATGAAAGGGACATTTCTTAAAGCAATTAATGGTGAAATTATAAGATTTAGTCTGCAAAAGAATAAAGCACCTTTTAGGGTTGGAAGAAACCCATCTACTTGTGTTGAGTGTGTATTATATTCATGCTTCCTTGTTACAGCTTGAGCAATATATACATCACAAGATGCAATCAAATAAAATATGTGTAAACAGAAAAGAAGGGGACATGGATTAAAGGGGAAGATAAAGTATAAAATGAGAACAATAAAGCAAATGTGCTGAGAGGAGTTTATTTTCTTATCAGGAGTGCCACATGGATTGAAAGCTAAACTTTTTAGCAGCAAATATAAAGAACAGACATGAAGAACAGATGAAATTTACATAATTCTCGATCTGTAGAATAAAAATAAATTGATTAGTTTCATAAAAGGATGATATTTACCCATTTCAGAGAGCAATCTGGGTGTCCTCATAGAGAAGCATTGTGAAAAGAAATGAACAATTTTCTTCAGGAACCCCGATACAGAGATGACAAAACATGACAACACATTCATTGAAATAGGTTCCCTCCCAACCAGAGCTTAGAGAACTCTACCTGAAAATCCAGAGAAACAGTAGTTTGGGGGCTCAATTTTACAATTCCTCTTTCTACTGCTTTTCCTCACACCTTCTCATTCATGTATTTAAATGCATTTCTTACTTTGAGAACTTATTTGTTTTCAACGTCCTCCTGATTCCTTTTTCATCTTTTGCTTTGCTTCTCTGGCCTTTGCTTACACAGGCAATAGAGCCACCCTCACACTCACCCAAAAAATGATGTGCAGCCTCAGTCCCTGCTGGTCCCCAGGTCCAGCTCTGCTAGGGTCAGTGCTCCTCACAGAACTGATTCCATCTCCACCCACTCGAGATGAAACCCCAATGGCCAAGAGCTTCCAGAAGCAAAACCCAGGTATGCGGGTTCAAACACTCCAGACCACATGGCAGCAGCGGAGAGGGGCTGGCCCTTCTGGTTTCCCTGCCCACTTGGGGTTTTGGCTATGATGCCCAAGACCTGCCTCCAGGTGCCATCTCAGTGCATCAAATGCCTTGATCCAGAGACACAGCAGTGAATCCCGGAAGACTGCAGCTCCCTGGAGATCTCTCCAGACCCTCTACTGAGTCAATTCCACCAGGACACCTCAGATGGAGCTTCCCTGCCGACTTGGGGAAGCTGGCTGTCATGTCCATTATCTGCCTTCAGGTGCATCAACAGTTTTGATCCAGAGACTCCCAAATGAATCTCAAAATGAATTAGCTCCCTACAGATATCTCTGGAACACCAACCATTTACAATTTTAGAATCCAGAAGCGTATTCATAATAAGCAATAGTAAATAAATTATCCAGGATCTGCTCCTGGCAGACAGGCTTGAATGGTGGTGGGAAAATTTGAAATAATGGTGGTGGGAAGGTTTAATGGTAGTGGGATTGGCGTTGAAATATTGAATGTAATCAATTAATGTGAACAACTTTATGAAAACAAAACTTTAAAAACAACAACAACAACCTGATTCCAGGACTTGATACTAATACTGAGCTCCTGAGTTCCCTTCACTGTCAATGACTTGTGATTCAGGACCCTAGGAATGTATCTTGGACATCCATGTTTCTCTGCTGGCTTCTTTATTCCTCTCTTCTCTTTTCTATGGGTTATCTGGACTTCTCAGCAGTGTCATACACTGGGATGCTGGTGCATGGAAGCTCATGGCCTCAGTGCCAATAGCTCTCCTAGGATGGTAATAGTTGTCTGTTCTCTCTAGCTCAAATTGTCTGCCTTAGGTTCTTGCTGGCTGAGACTGGGGAAAGTAGTCACCCTCTTCACCATGTCCTTGGGCACAAATCTCCACAGGTACCAGTGGAAGAAACAGAATTAATCAATGCGGGGAAATGTACTAAAGACTGAAACAATGTGAAGTCATCTTCTTATGTTTTAAATAAAATTCCTTAGGCATTTAGTAGCCCCTTAATAAATCATTTTATCCTCCACAACAGAAGATTTCAAAAACAGTCCAAGAATTTAAATTAAACTATTGGCTCTCTGTTCATCCCCATTCCCCAAACTCCACCAAAACACATAATAAAATTTGCACCCATGTGAGTTCCTGACTTTGAACTTATGTTTTCGAACCACCTCTTTACTAAACCAGGGATTGATAAAGTAACCCCCTGTGAATCTTTTACCACAAAGACAAACTAGCTAGGTTTGTCATAATAAACACATGCTGTATTATTCTCTCAAAGTGTCTGCAATTAGCTGATAAATATAAGGAGTGTAATGTCAGCCAAGCACTGTGATTCAATCCAGTAAAAACAAAGCTTTCCCAATCTTAACTTAAAACATCTGGAAGGGGAGCATAGAGGCCAACAGAGTAAAATTTATCAGTGAGGGGGATGGGCAGAGTTTGTCTGGAACTGTGGCTCTTTTAAGTTGAAATGTCTGGTTTCAAAAGGTAGGAAGTCAGGACAGCGCTAAGTGGATCTGAGGGCTCTCTAGGTTACAAGTAGCACAGACTGCATGGTGATTAGTCTGTCTGAAATCCAACAGCCTGATCAGTTTAGGGACAGAGAGTGGGTGGTGCTGGGGAGGCAAAGGATTCCTCCCCCTGCCCAGGCAGAGGTAGCCTTGGAGGTAATAACCACTAGATGGCGTCGAAGAATGTGAGTGTCAAAGGTGAGTGTCTAATGATTTAATGATTTAATTGGTCTTTGATTCTTTGATGGAGACTGCACTAAGAACACCAATGACCTCAAGAATAATGATAGTCGGGGCTGGAGAGATAGCGCAGCAGGTAGGGCGTTTGCCTTGCATGTGGCCGACCCGGGTTCGATTCCCAGCATCCCATATGGTCCCCTGAGCACCGCCAGGAGTAATTCCTGAGTGCAGAGCCAGGAGTAACCCCTATACATCGCCAGGTGTGACCCAAAAAGCAAAAAAAAAAAAAAAAAGAAGAATGATAATCCCTCAGTGTCTGCATTGCAAACCATAATGCCCAAAAGTAGAGAGAGAGTATGGGGAATATTGTCTGCCATGGAGGCAGGGGATGGGTGGGTATACCGGGGATATTGGTGATGGGGAATGTGCACTGGTGGAGGGATGGGTGTTTGATCATTGCGTGATTGTAACCCAAACATGAAAGCTTGTAACTATCTCACGGTGATTCAATAACATTTAAAAAAAAGAAGAAGAATGCAGTGTAGGGAGTTGGGTTCCTTCAACTTACTTTTTGAAGTTCCTATTTTGGGGACCTGTTGACATACTGAGTAATAGCTTGAAATCTGGAATTAAATTGCTGAGGCCTACTTATTCATATACACTGTGATCTTGGACAAGGTCCATAACTTCTCTAGACCTATCTGCTAATAATACAAGTGGGATAAATACAATTCTACAGAAGTTTAACGAGTTAATACAGACAGAGCCCATATCACAGTGCCTCAAATTCAGCAAGTTCACTCAATAATGTAGTTATTACTTTTGAAGAACTGGGTTCTAGAGACAGATTAGATAGATCTAGACTCTAGAATAGATTTATAAATCTAAAATAGATTTATATAAAAACAAGTCTATCATTGACTGGCTATGTGGATTTGGACAAGTATAAACATGCTGAAATCTTTTTTTTTACTGTAATATAGGAATAAGAAAAATATTAATTTCAAAGAATTGTATGATGGTAAAATAAATAATAGACATATGCAGAGATGTCTTATAAAAATCAATTAGATTTAGGTGGTGTCACTTACATTGGATGGAGGGGAGAGACGAACAAAGAAATTAAGGGAAAGTAACAAGGTTTTTTACTTATAGACAGAGTAACTATCAATAGATAAGAATTTAAGACCCCTGAGATACCAGCTAAGATCCTCATCAAATGAGGGCACCAAGAATTGTGCTCAGAACAACTGAAGGAATAAAGTAACCAGGCGAATGTCTG